CTTGAGCCTATTTGGGGTGCATTGAGTCTATTCAGGGGTACTTGAGTCTCTTTTTGGGGTGTATCCAGTCTGTTGGGGGACTTAAGCCTATCCTAGACACGTTGAGTCTACCAGCGGGTTACTTGAGTCTATCTGGGGTGTAGCGAATCTATCCTGGGGGACTCGAGTCTACCTGGGGTACACCCAGTCAGTCAGGGGACATGAGTCTTATTTGAGGTGTATTGAGTTTATCGGGGGGAACTTGAGTCTATTTGGGACGCATCGAGCCTATTGGGGGGACTGAAGTCTACCTGGGGCGCACCCAGTCAGTCAGGGGACGTGAGTCGATCCGAGGTGTGTTGAGTCTGGGGGGCAGGGGGGCTTGAGCCTATTTGGGGTGCATTGAGTCTATCCAGGGGGACTTGAGTCTATTCAAGGAGGCCCGAGTCTATCCCAGGGAACCTCAACTTCAGCCAGGGGCTCTCAAGTCTGTCTGGGGGGACCTCAGCTCCATCCAGCGGGGCTTCAAGTTTATCTTGAGCTATCCAGGGTGCTTTTGAGGCTATCTGGGGGAGCCTCAAATCCAGCTGCGGGGGCCTCGAGTCTATCTGGGGGGGCTCGAGTGCATCGGAGCTGCCTCATGTCCTTCTGGGTGGCCTCAAGTCCAAAAAGTTGAAGACCCGCTGCTGTAGAGAGCCCGACGTGCTGAATTTTCAGGCTGGGGCATTGGCCTGGGTGGTTATTTCATAGCCGAACATACTGGGGAGAGGGGGGCTTTGAGGGCTGGAACCAGGGAGCCCAGGATGCCACCGCGACTGCTTCCAGACGGGACCGGCAGGGAAGGCGGTGCCCGCTGATTCGGACACCAGAGCGGCGAGAGCAAAGCCGCAGGAAGCGCCTGGGTGTTTCTTCGCCAGACACAAAGGGCTTCGAATGCCTCAAAACACCCGTGCCGCCCGCAGCAGCTCAATGCTTGACGGGTCTCACAGGATGCCTCGAGTGCAGGGCTTGGCTCCAGGCCGTGGGGGAGACGACGGCTGAGCACGGCCCCTCCTTGCATTGGCACGTGGCCCTGTCCTGCTGCTGGATGGACATGGCCCTGCCGGCCTGGGAAGCGGGTGTCGAGCTCCAGGAGGAGGCTGGAAGGAGCAGGGGAAGTGCTGGGCCTTGCACGGGCTGACGTGCGACACATTTGCGATGCTTTTCTTTGCAACCAGCCGGGTTCGAGGGGAGTTGCCCCCGCTCTGCATGGCTGGACAGGGCTCTCGGGGCCGGCCCAGCCTCGCTAGGTCCCCGCCGGCCGTCCCGTGCTCCCTATGGAGCTCCCTGCAGGCCTGGCATCTCGGGCACGAGCCAGCTTGGGATC